CAGAATTCCTACCCAAACTTTGTTTTCGCGGACCGATAATAATAGAGTCAAACCTTCCTTTGACTAGGGATTTAAATAAAAAGGTGACTTGGAACACCAAAAAATCAATTCCAAGTGGCGACTCTGTAAACAAAATAATCCCTATTCAAGTTTGTCACTTTAATTGGAAAAACTCTTTAACCCACCCGCGATCCATAACATACACGTATTATTTTTTCGGGGGGTACAGAAAAGGGGTGTGACAGCTCTGGCGACTCTGCTGGGGATCTAACCAGAATTCGAGCTTGTACATGTTGACTTTTTTTTTTGGCTTTATTAATTTGTTTTATATTGTGATTTATTTGTGCAATGTGCTACCTGTTCGATTTCTACCGTTTTGATATTGTTGAACTGTACATATAAACTGTTTTCTCACGCACCCCCTCTAAGTCTTCTCGAAATTAAAAATTGGGCATTTGCTTGACATAGCCCGCTTTCTTTGAGATAGCCGAGGTGCTTGTCACCCGGTGAAGGATTTTTAGTCACACATGTTTTAGGCGGGGAGCACCACCAGCAAAGCCGGAAAGCAATGCTACCGGTACACTGACCCTCCTCGGCTCGAGTTGTCCGCTCGAGTAAGCCAGTCTAGATACCTTCTCCAATAGGATTTAAACCTAGAAGAACAAAACTCATGTCGGATATCCCTAGTAGGTTCGCTTTATTTGCATCACGTGCATTTGACTTAGCGAAACTCGGCACAGGGGCCGGGTCCGTATAAGACAGATATCCTCTTCGAGACCATCATGTTCACGTATGTGCTACTTGATACATCATTTGGAAGGCTTACTTGCATTGTCGACCGGTTTTAAAAAATAAGTGTAATTATTAGAAATAAAATAAAAAAAGAAAAAAAAGAAAAAGAATAATTCTCCTAGTTTAGTGCAAATAAACCTTTTTTTTAAAAAAAATTAAAAAAATTAACAAATATATATATATATAATATATACGATATATATCATATATATATATTATCATATATATATACTATAAAACGTAGTCTGGTGTGAGTTGTAAAGATTAATTTTCATTTTAAAAAAAAAAAAGTACCCAGTTTTACCGAACTACGCGGGGTTGATTCTCACCGGATGTGAGATACGTAGGCAACCTCCATCGGGTTCAGCCCACATTTTTCAAAAAAGGGGAGCATAAAATCTCGCATGTGCATAAAATTTTTGGAAAAAAAAAGAACCTATTTTGGTCACCTTTTTACTGTCTTGCCCTCATGTTCCGGCTGTTTTGCCAAGACAGCCCTAAGATCTTTCTGGGAAGTGCTGAAGGGCCATTTTTGTAAAAAATAGTTACTTTATCCATATTTATTCACCTTTTACCATTTTGCCCTTATGTCTGGCCATTTTTGTCGAAGCAGCTTTAAACCTTTCCGGAAGTACCGAAAAACTGTTTTTGCAAAAGTAGCCATTTTTATCCAGTTTTGTCTTGTTTTTTTATCTGAAATAGCTTTTGAACCCCTCTCGGAGTAGCAAAGGGTTATTTTCGTAAAATTAGTTTTTTATTTATTACTTTGTCTATTTTTATCATTTTGTTCCTGTGTTTGGCTGTTTTTACTGAGACATCCTTTATGCCTTCTATGGAAGTATCAAAGGGCCGTCTTTGTAATAATAGCCATTTTTTCTGTTTTTATCATCTCAAATTTTGTGTCCGGTAATTCAAAATATATATTGTAATAAAAAAATTAAAAAAAAAAATTAAAATAGATCGAGTCCTAAATTGGCAAAAATAAATAAATAAATAATGAATGATCATAATTCGCGTTCATGATATCATTTCTAGGATCATGGTCTTTCCAGAGCGTGGTGGGCGCATCAGAATTCGATTGGTTGCGGTAGTCTCGTATTTGCAAAGTAGCGAGGATCATACCATTCTTCCCATGATTTTGGGAGATATCTTTCGAGCTTTGACCCGCTGCCAAGAGGGTGAAGATTACTTCGAGGGATGCAACATTCTGCTGCAGATGTGGTTCATAGAGCACCTTTATCATCACCAAAAATAATAAATTTCAACGAAAACTGACTGAATTACATTGGATGTCACCCGAACAGGGCCGCAATTTGTAATCTTCTAGAGGGGGTGAGGGCCTGGCGGAAATTACTTTGTTCATTGAATGCTGATAGAATCACTTGGAACTATTATTGGTTCCCTTCTGCTAGGGTCATGCATATGTTGACGTATCGCCCGTTCTTCATACTCATGGGTTTCAGAGGTTTCCAACCCTACGCGCCCCTACGCGTCATGCGCCAGCTAGGGAGAGAGCAAAAGAGGCCCCCGATTGAGGACATGCGTCTGTTCGTGTGGTAATTCAAGGGAGAGGAACCTCCAAGGGAGTCTTATGCACAAAAGGTTTGGTTTGGTGGTCGATTTTTTGATTTGGACGAGATGGTAGCTGATCGTGAACGTAGGGAGGTAAGCCTCGCATACCTTGAGTGGTTTCACAACCAGGCTATCCCCGAGCAAAGGCTAGAAAGATCCATACGGCATGCAGTTGATTGGGAGGAGGAGATCGAGGCCAGAGTTAGAGAAACCAGAAGGGAAGTCGCACAAGAGTTCCAATCCCGTATTGACATATTACAAGAAGATAAGGGCATTCTGGAGACAGCCATGGACATATAACAGGCAGATTTTGAGCGGGAAAAGGCTCAGTGGTCACGAGATAAGAAAGGACTCAAAGCCCAAATTCAAAAGAAGAACATAGTCGCAACCGCTCAGCAACAAGAAGAGAGAGAAGCCCAGTTCAGGATAGTCCATGATCACGAGCGTAGTGGTTTTGCTCCATTAATCCAAGGTCTGGGGGATCAGATAGGGGAAGTTGAGTCAAGCAAGGAGATCCAGATCGCGGAGTTTGAAATAGAAAGACACCACTACCAAAAGGTGATCAATCAGTTAGAAGCGGAGTCACTAGATGTTCGGCGCCAGAAAGATATGGCCTTGGACCGCGAGCGTGATGCGCTGGATCTAGCTGAGACCCGTGGTCAGCAAAATCAAGAGTTGCATGTGGCTCAGGAATACATTAAGGGAAAGATCCTCGAGGTAGCCACATATACCTCAAGAGCATGCAGGAGTTGTCAGGGAATGACGCCTGAGCGGTTTGCAGAAGTATCATTGAACGTTGCTCGTCATATATCTGCAAACTTGGAGAGGATATACCGCAATGTTGGGGGTCAGCCGCAGGAACAAGCACCTTGATTACAGTGATGCCGGTGGATTCTACTGCAGAGATCAAAGTCTTCTTTTAGTTATCAGTCCTTTGTCATTCTTCTTTTGTTGTTTTTGAGTCTGTAAGAGTCTTTTGGTGTTTTGAGTCTTGTTGTTTTGCCTTTTATCCTAAAAAGTCTGTTTGAGTCAAGTCTGGTCTTGTTTATCTTTATGTAATTGCTTCTTTTTGAGTCTTATATCAAAAAAAAATTATTATCTATATTGAAAAATCAATGAAAAAGATTTTGTTTAGAAAAATTCGAAAATGAACCAAAAAGATGTTTGTTTTGTAAAAAAAAAAAACGGTCATGTACCTGAACTACGTAATGATCTGATTCATGCGGCGATATGATACGTAGGCAACCTACAAAAGGTTCGATCAAATATTTTTCAAATGACTATAAAATGAGGGATCAAGATAAGGCGAGTGAAAAGAAAAGCAGATAAAAAAAATAGAAGAAAATAAGGCGACAGAAAAGTAACAAGCTGATAAGCCGGAATGAAACATCAAGCCTTCCAAAAGCATATTAGAGACGGTGATATTTTAGGAGCATAGCATATCTACGCGTGATTCCTATCTGTGAAATGCTTAACCCTAACGCATTTGTTGCCACCTACTCAGTAAGCTTAAGGTGGTTGGTTTGTGGTAAAAACTGGTAACACATCATTACTTCACAAGATCTAAGGGAGCGGTGGTAATGGATAATAGTGACGAAATCGAGTTGGTCAGTGACAATCCGCAGGGTCAGTCAGTTGAGCAAGAGTCGGAGGAAATAAGAAAATTGAGACAGCAACTGTCAGATGTATATCAAGCTTGGGTTTCCGGTCGACCTCCACCCCAGGGTCCTTCAGAGGGAACTTCCACCATACCCCAGGCTACTCAAACACCGCTCCATGCAACGAGCGATCCCATTCTACCACCAGGGTATGTGCCAAACTACAGCCTCCATGCTTCCCCCGGTACCTCTAATATGTGACCTCCAGTCGCACCGGTTAGGAACACCCCTCTCGTTGTGTCTGGCGCACCGGTATATACAATCCCGCCGCCACTACCTGTGACAAGGCCAAACAATGAGCCACCATCTCATGCTTATGATGGCCAATACTATTCTCCAAATATGGCTTTTGGGGTCTCGGCTCCATACAATCAGACTCCTCGATACGAATCACCAGGGGAAAATAAAAAGCCCGCCACGACTGTTGAGCCAGATGAGATGGCCAGGAAAATGAAAAGTCATGAACAAAATATAAAGAATATACAGGGACTAGGTGGTCACAAAAGTGTTTCATTCAATGATCTATGCATGTTCCCTCACATCCATTTGCCACGAGGGTTCAAGACCCCAAAATTTGAGAAATATGATGGACACGGCGACCCTATCGCCCACTTGAAAAGGTATTGTAACTAGTTGAGGGGTGCAGGAGGAAAGGAAGAGCTGCTGATGGCTTACTTTGGGGAAAGCCTTGTGGGGGTAGCTTCCGAATGGTTCATTGACCAAGACATCTCTCATTGGCATGTTTGGGATGACATGGCCCAGGCTTTCGTCAAACAATTTTAGTACAACATTGATATTGTGCCGGACCGTAATTCTTTGTCCAATATGAAGAAAAAGCCGACCGAAAGTTTTTGGGAGTATGCCATCAAGTGGAGGGAGCAAGCGGCTAGAGTTAAGCCACCCATGGATAACCACGAGTTGATCACTGTTTTTTTGGAGGCTCAAGAGCCTGATTACTTTCAGAACATGATGTCCGCGATGGGTAGACCTTTTGCAGAAGCAATCAAAATAGGGGAGATGGTCGAAAATGGCCTCAAGACAGGTAGAATTGTAAGTCAAGCTGCTCTCAAAGCCACCACCCAAGCTATCCAAAATGGGTCGGGAGGTTTGGCAAATAGAAAGAAGAGAGATGAATGGTCCATGATGGCTTCGGGATCTAGGGAGTTTCAAAGAGGGGCATCGCACCCTTATGTGCAATTTCAGCAGGGGCAATCCAGCTACCCTCAACATTATTATCCCCCGCCGATTCCTCAATACTCTGTGGGCCCACCACAATATACAGTGTTCAATGCTCAATCATATGCTCGGCCTCCCAATCAGCAGGTACGGGCACCAGCTCCAAGGGCCCCCCGACCTCAGCAGCAAAATTTTCGGGCACCTTACAATGCTCGTCCCAGGCAGGATTATGGTCGAGAGCAGAGGCCGGTAGAAAAATTCACTCCATTGGCTGAATCATATTCTAGTCTATTCCAGAAGCTGAAGCAAATAGGCGTAATTGGACCCATCGCTCCCCACCATATGCATCCCGATTTGCATGGATTTCAAGCAAATGCTAGATGTGAATATCATTCTGGTGCCCCAGGGCATAACACTGATGACTGTTGGACTCTGAAAAGAGCCATAGAGAGACTCATTTCTGAAAAACTGATTGTAGTGATGAATGGCGAGGACCCTCCTAACGTGACAAACAACCCGTTGCCAGCACACAATGATGTTCATTTTGTGGGAATGATTGGCCGAGACCAAGAATACAAGCCGCTCGGTCGAGCAGAAATGACAGTGGGTGCAATTCAAGAAGGAGCAGGTCTGGAAGTAAGTCCCAGCCGAGATGTGCCATTGATTGTGAAAGGCGCCCAGAGCTCAAATAAGGCAACTTTATTTGTTCCAAAGATCTCGAGGTTGGAAGTTCACTCCAGTGTTCCAAGCCCAAGGTTATATGTACTTGGAGGCCACCCCGTCAAAAGGGAGAAGCAGGGAGGTACGAAAGGTATAACAGAGCCGATCGTAATCAAACCTGCCGTGCAACCCCCTGTGACCAACACAAAAACCACTCCTTGGAACTACAACAAAACTGTGATGACCTACAAAGGCAAGGAAATCATAGAGGAAGTGGGGGAAACTGGAGGTTTTACTCGATCAGGGAGATGTTACTCTCCAGAAGAGTTGAGGAAGGCCAAGCAAATTAGAGAAGGCCATTTGCCAATAAAGAAACCAGTCACTGAAGCAGATGCGGAAGAGTTTTTGAAAAAGATGAAAGTTCAGGATTACTCAATCATTGACCAGCTAAGAAAGACTCCCGCTCAAATCTCTCTACTATCTCTGCTCCTACATTCCAAAGAGCATGCCCGTGTACTAATCAAGGTCCTGAACGAGGCACATATCTCAGAGGAGACCACAGTGAATCAGTTAGAGAAGATGGCCAACAGATTTTTCGAGGTGAACAGAATCTCCTTTACTGATGATGAACTTCCCGAGGAAGGAGCCGGGCATAATAGGGCTTTGAACTTGATGGTCAAATGTGAGGGTCATTATGTAAAGCGAGTCATGGTTGATGGAGGCTCAAGTGTAGATGTATGCCCTCTCTCTACCTTGCAAAGCATGAAGATCGATACAGACAGAATCCGACCGAGCAATGTTCGCATCCGGGCTTTTGATGGCTCAGCAAGAGATACCATTGGGGAGATCAACCTCACCATGACGATTGGGCCAGTTGACTTTGAGATTGTCTTCCAAGTAGTGGACATGGCCACTTCTTATAACTTTCTTCTTGGAAGGCCATGGATCCATACGGCCCGAGCTGTGCCATCCACCTTGCATTAGATGCTCAAATTCGAACATGACAGGCAAAAATTACTGTTCACCGAGAAGACGAGTCTTCTATTTATAAAGACCCGTTAATCCCCTGTATTGAGGCCAAGGAAGGGTCTGAGTACATTGTCTACCAGGCTTTTGAAGTGGTTACTATGGACCATGTCGAGGAAGGAAAGCCCATTTTGTATCCTCGTCTTTCTGCCACATCTGTAATGGCGGCTGCAGTTATGATAAGACAAGGTTATGAGCCAGGAAAAGGTTTGGGAGCACCATTGCAAGGAATTTCGGAGCGTATTTCTCCGTTTGGTAACCATGGTACTTTAGGATTGGGCTTCAGGCCAACACAAGCAGACGAAAACAAAGCCAAACACCGCAAAAAGCATGGATGGGTCTTGCAACAGCCTATCCCTCATATTTTCTACACTTTTGTCAAGCCACGATTCCGAGAGGGTCAAAATTCCTCGGCGCATGCAAACATTATTGAAATTTTCCATGGCCTCAGCGAGATGTTTTCTGAAGTGAATATGATTCAGGCTGGTGAAGGAACTAGTCGTGCCGATATGCAACTAATTGACCCAGATACCATGCTCACCAATTGGGAAGCAACTCCTCTCCCCACAAGGAAGGAGTCTTGGTAGTTTGCTTTTGCAGCTTCTTTTTTGTATTTTGGGTTATTTTCAGGGTTGTAATCCAAACATCTCAGTATGATTGTTTTGTTTTGATGTTAACCCTTCTATCCTTTCGAATTCAATGAAATGCAGTTCAGTTTCCTATTAAGTTTTCTATCTTTTCCTTTTCCTAATTCCTGTCATTTTATTTCCATTTCAGTTTTGTTAATGCCGGCTTTAATAACATGACATGCATGCGGAATTCACGCCCAGATCTTAAAAAGCTGTGTAATATCGAAATAATGCATCAAGAGGTTGAATATGATGAAGATGAGGTTGTTGAAGAAATAAAAAGAGAGTTGGAACAATTCGAAAACAAGCCTAAGCCAAACCTCAATGAAAATTAATATCGGAAGTCCTGAAGAAGTTAGAGAAATGAAGATAAGCATTCACACTGAACAAAAAACCAGAGATGCCTTGATTCAACTTTTATTTGAATATAGAGATGTGTTTGCTTGGTCTTACGATGATATGCCTGGTTTAAGTGCTGATTTGGTGGTTCATAAGCTTCCTATGTATCCTGGTTTTCCACCAGTCCAACAAAAGCAACGGAAATTTAAAACAGACATGAGCGACAAAATCAAAGAGGAAATAATGAAGCAACTGAGTGCCAATGTGGTCAGAGCTGTCCGATACACCACCTGGGTGGCAAATGTTGTGCCTGTGAAAAAGAAGGATGGAAAAACCAGAGTTTGTGTCGACTATAGGGACCTGAACAAAGCAAGTCCAAAGGATAATTTTCCTTTGCCAAATATCCACATTCTTGTAGATAATTGTGCAAAACATGAGATACAATCGTTCGTGGATTGCTATGCTGGGTACCACCAAATTTTAATGGATGAGGATGATGCAGAAAAGACCGCTTTCACCATGCCATGGGGTACTTATTTTTACAAGGTCATGCCGTTCAGTTTAAAGAATGCAGGGGCAAATTACATGAGGGCCATGACCACCATCTTTCACGACATGATGCACAAAGAGATTGAATTATATGTCGATGATGTCATCATAAAATCAAAGACACAAGCTGATCACGTGTGTGATTTGAAAAAGTTCTTCGAACGACTTCGAAGGTATGACCTTAAGCTTAATCCAGCCAAGTGTGCATTTGGGGTTCCGTCTGGGAAACTCCTCGGTTTTATAGTCAGCCGGAGAGGCATCAAATTGTATCCATCTAAGATAAATTCCATTTGAGATCTTCCATCCCCGAAGAACAAAAAGGAAGTCATGAGTTTGCTCGGGAGGTTGAACTATATCAGTAGGTTCATTGCCCAGCTCACAACCACGTGCGAGCCCATCTTTAAGTTGCTGAAAAAGGATGCCGCTATCAGGTGGACAGAGATTGCCAAAAAGCTTTTGACAGGATCAAAGATTATCTGTCAAAAACCCCTGTACTGGTCCCGCCTGAACCTGGTAGGCCTTTGTTTTTATATCTATTGGTGATGGATAATTCCTTTGGATGCGTTCTGGGGCAACATGATGCAACAGGCAAAAAGGAACAGGCAATCTATTATTTGAGCAAGAAGTTCACCAATTATGAGGTTAAGTACACCCTTTTAGAAAGGACATGTTGTGCCTTGACTTGGGTCGTTCAGAAGCTGAGACATTATCTTTTGGCCTACACTACTTACCTCATATCCAGAATGGATCCTTTGAAGTACATCTTCCAAAAGCCAATGCCCATTGGCAGGCTCACAAAATGGCAAATCCTGCTCACAGAGTTTGACATCTTCTATGTCACTCGCACCGCGATGAAATCATAGGCTTTGGCAGATCATTTGGCAGAGAATCCAGTTGATAATGAGTACATGCCACTTAGCACATACTTCCCAGACGAAGAGGTCAACTCAATAGAGGGAGTGGTTCTAGACGATCACCCTGTATGGAAAATGTATTTTGATGGGGCGGTCAATATCAAAGGAGTTGGGATCGAGGCAATCCTCATCTCACCTATTGGACATCATTACCTTGCAACGGCCCGACTTCGGTTCTTCTGTACCAATAATATGGCAGAATACGAAGCTTGTATCATGGGTTTGAAAATGGCCATCGATCTGGATGTGCATGAACTATTGGTTATGGGAGATTCTGACTTGCTTATCCGGCAAGCCCAAGGCGAATGGGAGACTCGAGACATCAAGCTTATTCCGTACAGACAATGTGTGCAAGACTTGAGCAAAAGATTCAAATCCATCGAGTTCAGGTACATTCCCAGGTTTCACAATGAGCTAGCCGATGCCTTGGCTACTTTAGCCTCGATGCTCCCTTATCCAGGCAACACTCGTATTGATCCACTAGAAATCCAAGTTTGGAATCAACACGGTTACTGCAATACAATTGAGACAGAACCAGATGGTGAATCATGGTATCATGACATAAAACGATTCCTGAAAATAAGAGAATATCCAGAGCATGCTAAAGGAGATCAAAAAAGAACTATAAGGCGGCTCGCCAGTGGTTTCTTCCTGAATGAGGAAATTCTGTACAAGAGGACCCCAGATTTAAACTTGTTAAGATGCATAGATGCTACAGAAGCAGAGCGGATCATGAGTGAAGTGCATTCGGGGGTATGCGGACCTCACATGAATGGATATGTTTTGGCGAAGAAGATTCTGCGGGCAGGGTATTATTGGCTTACTATGGAGCGAGATTGCTTCAGTTTTGTTCGCAAGTGTCACCAATGCCAGATTCATGGTGATCTAATTCACTCGCCTCCTTCGGAGTTGCATCCCATGTCCTCTCCTTGGCCTTTCGTTGCTTGGGGAATGGATGTTATTGGGCCAATCGAGCCAATCGATCCAATCGAGCCAAAGGCTTCAAATGGGCATAGATTCATTTTGGTTGCAATTGATTACTTCACCAAGTGGGTGGAGGCCGTCACTTTTAAAGCAGTCACCAAGAAAGCAGTGGTAGACTTTGTTCATTCCAACATCATCTGTCGCTTTGGTATCCCAAAGACCATTATCACTGACAATGCAGCCAATCTAAATAGTCATTTGATGAAGGAGGTATGCGAACAATTTAAAATCATGCATCATCATTCTACCCCTTACCGGCCAAAAGCCAATGGAGCCGTTGAAGCGGCAAACAAGAACATCAAGAAGATTCTTAGGAAAATGATCCAAGGTTCCAGGCAATGGCATGAAAAGCTGCCTTTTGCTCTTTTGGGATACCGCACGACTGTTCGCACATCCGTTGGTGCAACTCCGTATCTGCTTGTATATGGAACTGAAGCTGTAATACCCGCTGAAGTCGAAATTCCCTATCTCCGAATTATTGTGGAATCAGAGATTGAAGACACTGAGTGGGTCAAGACCCGATTAGAACAACTGATGTTGATCGATGAAAAACGGCTAGCAGCAGTGTGTTTCGGCCAGTTATACCAGCAAAGAATGGCACGCGCTTACAATAAGAAAGTGCGCCCAAGGCAATTTGAGGTAGGCCAGCTGGTTTTGAAACGCATCCTTCCGCACCAGGTAGAAGCTAAAGGAAAGTTCGCCCCGAACTGGCAAGGACCCTACATCATCAAGAAAGTGTTACCAAAAGGGTCGTTGCACTTGGTAGATGAAGAAGGACGGGTACCAGACATGACTATTAATGCAGATGCAATCAAAAGATATTATGTCTGATATATACCCACTGTAGAATTTTCACGCATTGATTTTCTCAGATCGAGATGACGAAGGCTATCATCTGCTCGCTATTCCAAATAGGTGTCACTCTTTTGTTAACTCTTTTGAGACGTATTTGTCTTCTTTGTTTCTGGAACCTGTGTACTTGTAAAAGCAAAAAAAGGGTCAAACAACAAATCTTCTGAGTCATTGAACTACGTCCGACCTGATTCCGAAAGGATACGTAGGCAGCCTTACCCTGGGTTCGGTCCCATCACAACATAAAATCCATATTCCAATACTCCAAAATCGGGGAAGAAGTTTGTTTTATTTTTCGGTTTTTCTGTAAAAACGGTTCCAAAAGTTGTAATTCAGTTCAAGGTTCATTTCGCCTTTTTACCTTTCAAGAACTTCTGATCGATTTTTTGAGAATGTTTAAAGTCCCCATGCCAAGGGCGTTGGGCAACCTCCCGCATGTAGTATCTTAGTCAAAAAAAAAGAAGAAAAGGAAAACAAATGAGAGAGTCTTATTGGTAAAAACCCGTAAGGGCACTATAAGGCGACAGTGAGCAGAGAAATGAGAGAGTCTTATTGGTGAAAATCCAGATGGGCACCATAAGGCGATGATTAATAGAGAAATCAGAGAGGTTAGTTAGCAAAAACCTACAAAGGGCGCTACTAGCCGAATGAGGGTCTTCGATTCTCCGGCATGAGCACAACCAAGACAATTTCAAGATGAACATTTGCGACGGATTTTGAGAATTAGACAACTCAGACGGATCAGGCGTCCAGTCCAAAATGCATGTCATGATTCATTGAAGTTGGCACAAACCTCCAGATAAGTCTCCCTATTCCTTTCCCTGAAAGGGACACCTTTTGTTTAAGCACAGTTCTTTTCGCTTTCAATTATTATTCTGTTTTTACCCATAATTTTTCTTTGAGTCCCTTTAGGTCTAATCCTGCATCAAAAGCGAAGCAAAGAAATGGATGCAAAACTAGTTACAGTTTCCCCATAATATCGAGCACAATTTGGGGCATATATAGCATTGACGAAGGCACGAATCCATCTGAGATCTCATTTGATAAGGCGAACAAAGTGTTTCAAAGAAACTGAAAAGTCGAATGCGCTCTGACTGATATCATTCAGGCAATTCCATTCTTACTGTCCTAGGAAGAAGGAAAGGATAAAAGATCCCACGAACAGGGTTAGCGTAAGAAGAGCTTTTGCAAGAAGGGCATGAGCAAGACCTGCTTCATGAGAAAAATTGATAAGCACTACGGACACAAACTGATACTGGGTGCAAGACAACTGAGTTTGATTTTAAAGAAAAAATGCATTGCCTTAGAGACAAGGGTAGCGGTACCATGGACATCTGGGTATGAAACAGTTGGGGGCAACATTGGAAAGCCAAGTTCTCCAGAAAATGATACAGAGCAGACGAGCATCTCGGTACCACACTGACAGAATTGGTTCTTCGATAGCAGTGGCCGTGAATCAAGCTACTCAGGGCATCAAGGCCACAAACCAACCACCACTTTGAAAACTCACAAATTTTTCTTTGTTTGAAACAGGAACAAAGTAGTGCAGAATGGCGATTCTAAAAGAACGAATGTCACTAAACGTAAGCTCTTTAAAGTCTCCATTTTCTTTTATTTTCAACATGCATCACTGTTGTTCACACTTCCCATTTTGTAGCTTAACTCAGGTAGAACCGTTTCGCCTAGGGAGATCCAGCTCACAGTTCTGGGTAGAAGTACTCTTCGCTCAGGTTGTTTTACGCAGCTTAACTCAGGTAGAATCCTTTCGCCTAGGGGGATCCAGCTCATAGTTCCGGGTAGAAGTACTCTTCGCTCAGGGTCTTTTACGCAGCTTAACTCAGGTAGAACCGTTTCACCTAGGGGGATCATGCTCATATTTCCGGATAGAAGTACTCTTCGCTCAGGGTGTTTTACGTAGCTTAACTCAGGTAGAACCGTTTCACCTAGGGGGATCCAGCTCATATTTCCGGGTAGAAGCACTCTTCGCTCAGGCAGTTTTACTTAGCTTAACTCAGGTAGAAACGTTTCGCCTAGGGGATCAAGCTCATAGTTCCGGGTAGAAGTACTCTTCGCTCAGGGTGTTTTACACAGCTTAACTCAGGTAGAATCCTTTCGCCTAGGGGGATCCAGCTCATAGTTTCCAAGTAGAAGTACTCTTCGCTCAGGCTGTTTCACGCAGCTTAGCTCAAGTAGAATCCTTTCGCCTAGGGGGATCCAGCTCATAGTTTCCGAGTAGAAGTACATTTCGCTCAGGGTGTTTTACGTAGCTTAACTCAGGTAGAATTCTTTCGCCTAGGGGGATCCAGCTCATACTTTCCGAGTAGAAGTACTCTTTGCTCAGGGTGTTTTACGCAGCTTAACTCAGGTAGAATCCTTTCGCCTAGGGGGATCCAGCTCATAGTTTTCGAGTAGAAGTACTCTTCGCTCAGGGTGTTTCACCCAGCTTAACTCAGGTAGAATCCTTTCGCCTAGGGGGATCCAGCTCATGTTTTCGAGTAGAAGTACTCTTCGCTCAGGGTGTTTTACACAGCTTAACTCAAGAAGAATCCTTTCGCCTAGGGGGATCCAGCTCATAGTTTCGAGTAGAAGTACTCTTCGCTCAGGGTGTTTTACGCAGCTTAACTCAGGTAGAATCCTTTCGCCTAGGGGGATCCAGCTCATGTTTCCGAGTAGAAGTACTCTTCGCTCAGGTTGTTTTTCACAGCTTAACTCAGGAAGAATCTTTTCGCCTAGGGGGATCCAGCTCATGATTCCGGGTAGAAGTACTCTTCGCTCAGGGTGTTTTACACAGCT